CAAAATAACCAACAAAACCTTAGCTATAACCCTTATCCTGCAGGCAGAATAATCAACAGAACCATAGCCATATCTCTCATCCTACAGGCAAAATAACCAACAAAACCTTAGCTATAACCCTTATCCTGCAGGCAGAATAATCAACAGAACCATAGCCATATCTCTCATCCTACAGGCAAAATAACCAACAAAAACTTAACCATATCCCTTATTTTGCAGGACGAATAACCAACAAAATTTAACCATATTTGTTATCCTGTAGACAGAATAACAAACAAACCTTAGCCATATCCCTTATCCTGCTGGCATAATAAACAACTAAACCTAACCATATTCGTTATCCTGTAGACAAAATAACCAACAAAAACTTAACCATATCCCTTATACTGCTGGCATAGTAACCAACAAAACTTAACCATACTCGTTATCCTGTAGACAGAATAACAAATAAACCTTAGACATATCCCTTATTCTGCAGGACGAATAACCAACAAAACTTAACTATATTCGTTATCCTGTAGACAGAATAACAAATAAACCTTAGACCAGGATAAGGGATATGGTTAAGTTTTGTTGGTTATTCGTCCTGCAGAATAAGGGATATCAGGATAAGGGATATGGTTAGGTTTCTGTTGGATATTATGCCTGCAGAATAAGGGATATGGCTAAGGTTTGTTGGTTATTCGTCCTGCAGAATAAGGGATATTGCTAAGGTTTATTTGTTATTCTGTCTACAGGATAACGAATATGGTTAAGTTTTTGTTGGTTATTATTCAAGTGGTTATTCTACCTGCAGGATAAGGGATATGGCTAAGGTTTGTTAGTTATTTTGCCTGCAGGATAAGGGATATGGTTAGGTTTTTGTTGGATATTATGCCTGCAGAATAAGGGATATGGCTAAGGTTTGTTGGTTATTCTGCTGCAGGATAAGGTATATGGCTAAGGTTTGTTGGTTATTCGTCCTGCAGAATAAGGGATATTGCTAAGGTTTATTTGTTATTCTGTCTAAACAAAAACTTAAACATATCCCTTGCCCTGCAGGCAGAATAACCAACCAACCTTAGCCATATCCCTTATCCTGTAGATAGAATAACCAACAAAAACGTAAACATATCCCTTACCCTGCAGGCAGAATAACCAACAAACCTAAGCCATATCCCTTATCCTGTAGATAGAATAACCAACAAACATTATCCTTATCCCTTATTCTGCAGCCAGAATAACCAAGAAATACTTAACCATATCCCTTATCCTGTAGGCAAAATAACCAACAAAACCTTAGTCATATCTTCTTTTCTACAAATAGAATAAACAAAAAGAACGTTAATCATATCCACTTTCGTACAGACAGAATAACCAACAAAACGTTAATCATATCCACTTTCGTACAGACAGAATAACCAACAAAACGTTAATCATATCCACTTTCGTACAGACAGAATAACCAACAAAACGTTAATCATATCCACTTTCGTACAGACAGAATAACCAACAAAACGTTAATCATATCCATTTTCGTACAGAAAGAATAACCAACAAAACGTTAATAGTATATTCCTTATCCCTCAGAAAGAATTGCAACAAACTTTTAGCTATATCCTCTTTCCTACAGACAATGTTACCAACAAATCTTAACCACATGGCTTCTTTTGAAACAGATTGTCCACAAAAACAATACTTTACCACCAACTACTCTACAGACCATACTTATCTTAAGAAAACCAAATAACAATTCTTCCACAAACTTAGTTTTTCTGGGTTAATGGCTCTGTAACAATATCCGGTGGTTTAAAAATTCAAACCTCATTTGATTAACACAGCAACTGCCAGTTTGTATCCTGGAATATACAGTGTTTGCAGAATAAACTGACCATTTGGCGAATTCGCGTGGCTAACAAACTGTAATATTCAGAGGCAATATATAGACATGTGAGTTAAAAACACAAGTATAGAAAGAGTGGCCTATAAAAGAACATAAAAAACTTATATACTAAAGCACCTTCTGACTGTTTATAAGTTTCCAATTTTTTCCTGGCACTAGCTGGATTCTAACAGAGGTAAACAGTTTTACGATCACATAAAACCGACCTTGCTCTGGGTCATCACGCTAGTTTTTCACGACGGCTTTAGAAAAGCTGTTTAAATGTAAATATATATATAAAAAGAAAATCTATGACATCTGTACTTACTATTACTCACTGATTTTAGGGTATAGAAAATCAGAAGATAGTGTTACACATTTTATACAACTAGCTACTAACACCCAGGGGATGGATGTTTTGTGCGTCATCATATACAATGTAAGTGTAAACATCTTAATTAAAGCGGACATTGTACTCATGTTTTCCGTTTCAGTTGATAGTAGATCCTATTTCACGCCAACAAATTAACTGTAGTTTTGGTTTTGGTTTCAAATAGTGACTTGTCTGTTTCACTCCTTGCCCAGTACACATAAGAATGCAGACATTATTTATCTCTAAATTGACATGCAGTAAAAGTAGACTTAGTTTTGGTTTCGATTGTCTCTTGCTCATGATCTTCATCAGTGCATTTTTTCTGTTCGCCCCACAGTAAACTGTAAATATTATTTGCCTTGGTTATATGTCAATTTTCTTTCTAAAGTATATAAAACAATTAAAATGTTGAATTTCCTAAAAAATCACCTTTTAAATTTTTTATCTATTACACACACACACGATTAGAGTTATTTCTAAGGCTATCTTCATTTTAATATATATGTCCGATGTTTATCGCATTGCTTAGGGAAGTTCAAGTTCCTGAAGGACGGTAGAAGACTACTTTATGATTTTTTAAAGAATGAACTGAACAAAAAACTGTTCTATTGTTTTCTAAAGATAATGTTTGTTTGTAGTTAAGCACAAAGTTGCACAATTAGCTATCTATGCTCTGCCCCCCACGGGTATAGAAACCCGGTCTCTAGGATTGCAAATCCACAGACATATATAGCTGTGCCACTGTGAGGCCTAAAAATAATGATCAACAGACTACTATATTACGGTCTCCTACAGCCTGAACTACGCTTTTGTTTCTTCAAAATCCTGATCAACAAATATTGCAACACGGTCTCTTAAAGATATTTGGCAAAAAAAACTGCACTACACTATGAAAAAAACACCGTAAAAACATGTAATCAACCATTTATTTCCAATTTTAAAAACCGTATTTTAAAGTACGGTTAAAAACATTAAAATAACGTGAAAAAATGCTATAAAATGAATATATACTTTAATTTTACTGAAATTATCAGCAAGCTTATTTTTAATAGTGAACCATTCTTAAAAACACTGCCATACTTACTTGTTTGTTTGTTTGTAATTAAGCACAAAGCTACGCAATGGGCTATCTGTGCTCTGCCCAACACGGGTGTCGAAACCCAGTTTCAAGCATTGTAAATCCGCAGACATACCGCTGTGCCACTGGAGGGCATTCTTTATCTTTATTTTTATACACGTGGGAGTGGGGACTACACAGTTGCATTTTACTTACTAAAGGTTAGCACTCTGACCCTGACCATGCAGCTGACCTGGTCGAAATATATATATACATATTTTATTAATTTTATGTGGATAAACCCTTTAAAGAGTTTATGTGTGGAATTCTAAAAAAAGAGAGAGGGAAAGAAAAACTTGAAATATATAATAAAACCGTATTTGGATTTGGATTAACCATTACTTTTAAAGTATTTCTTTATGAGTTGACTGCGCATACAAATATATTTTTTGTGGATAAACATTAATTAAAAAGTGTTTCTTTTTGGAATGACAGTGCACAGTGCAAAACGCTTGAGATACATGGTAAAACAGTTACTTGTGTGGAATAACCGTTAATTTAAGGGCATTTCATTGTAGAGTAACAGTCAAAACACTCAAAATACAGACGAAAACAGTTATTTCACGGTAAATTCCAATAATATTTTATAGGGAATTCCTGCGAATTTAGCAGAGGACATCGTGAATTAGTTTAGTTTGAACTTATGTTTACCGGAAATTAACAGTGATTTTTTTTTTACAGTCTATGGTTTTATATAGATCCTAATCAAAAGAAAACGGCATTATTCTTTCCTAAGGATAGTGAACAGATATGTACTACAATATGGTTTCCTTGAGACTGTAATCAACAAACAAATGATCTATGATTTCCTAAAGATCTACTATCTACTAAGCTATCTACTTAGAACGAAACTTGAAATCAACATGCTAATGCGTACAGCTAAGCAAATATCCCTAATAGTTTTAACCGCTTGTAAAGAGGCATTTATTACTTAACTGACTATGATCCCCTAACGAATGTTTAGACTTTAGGAAAACGACCAGGGTCCTGTTTAATTCATATGGTACAATATTATACTCTATATGCTAGGATCAGAAAGACACTGCATTACGGTATGTCTGCGGACTTAAAACGCTAGAATCCGGGTTTCGAAACCCGTGGTGGCCAGAGCACAGGTAGCCCATTGTGTAGCTTTGTGCTTAATTACAAAGAAAGTCAGAAACAAACAAACACTGCATTACGGCTTCTTAGCGAAGCTAATCAACAGACCATTACACGGTTCAAATGCTGTCAGAACTAAACCTTCCTTTTTGAGTATCAAGAAATTGTATATGTGCATCTTGTTATTACAGGATGTATCTAAGCTCAAAGACTTAGAATAAGTTAAATAAAAATGTAGTGTTATCCGGTCTTAGTTACCACCCTTAGTTTATACAAAGAGCTACTTTATCTAGTTTCAGTTTTGGTTCAGAAGATCACGTGAATCTGTATCGCTTTCACGCGAAGCATGTTCTACCTTTATAGATTAATATCCTGCTTTAGGTCTGACACAAAAGTTCTGCCCCCGAACACAGTGCTGAATCGCCTTTTTGGAGAGAGGACAATTACATGAAATATAGAGTAAGTTATATTTAACGTTATTGAATATGGTGAACTATATAGAAACCATTCATCTTAGTTAAATACACTTTGATAGAGTAAGTTATATTTAACGTTATTGAATATGGTGAACTATATAGAAACCATTCATCTTAGTTAAATACACTTTGATAGAGTAAGTTATATTTAACGTTATTGAATATGGTGAACTATATAGAAACCATTCATCTTAGTTAAATACACTTTGATAGAGTAAGTTATATTTAACGTTATTGAATATGGTGAACTATATAGAAACCATTCATCTTAGTTAAATACACTTTGATCTACTCTATTTTCGGTTTACTAAATGTAAATATGTTTATATATATATAAAGGTGGAATAAAGTAGTTTTCATTGGAAAACTACTGATAAAAACTTACGTGAACTAATCTTTAAATCATGACATAAGATAATTAAAACTAACGCTAAAATACTGGCACTTGCGAAGAGAAATGTTACACTTTTATAACACTTAGATGGCAGTAGAATATAATAATGGTACTCCTGAAGAGGAATGGTAAACTTTTATAGCACTTAGATGACAGTAGAATATAATTATGGTACTTACAAAGAGGAATGGTAAACTTTTATAGCACTTAGATGGTAGTAGAATATACTAATCGTACTTATGAAGAGGAATGGTAAACTTTTATAGCACTTCGATGGCAGTGGAATATAATAATGGTACTTATGAAGAAGAATGATAAACTTTTATAGCACTTAGAATTCATAAGTACCATTATTATATTCTACTGCCGAGGAATGGTAAACTTTTATAGCACTTAGAAGGCAGTAGAATATAATAATGGTACTTATGAAGAGGAATGGTAAACTTTTATAGCACTTAGATGGGAGTAGAATAAAATAATGGTACTTATGAAGAGGAATGGTAAACTTTTATAGCACTTAGATGGCAGTGGAATATAACAATGGTACTTATGAAGAGGAATGTAAACTTTTATAGCACTTAGATATGAAGAGGAATGGTAAATTTTTATAACACTTAGATGGTAGTAGAATATAATAATGGTACTTATGAAGAGGAATGGTAAACTTTTATAGTACTTAGATGGCAGTAGAATATAATAATGGTACTTATGAAAAGGAATGGTAAAGTTTTATAGTACTTAGATGGCAGTAAAATATCATAATGATACTTATGTAGAGAATTAGTAAACTTTTGTAGTACTTAGATGGTAGTAGAATATAATAATGGTACTTATGAAGAGGAATGGTAAACTTTTATAGCACTTAGATGGCAGTAGATGTTGTAAAATAAGAATTTATTTTTATTTTAATGACTTTTATTGTGAACTGAGTAAGCCTATGTTGTCATATCGAAATATACTGTTTTAATATAATTCTAAACGTAATACATTAGTCAGCTAGATACTTTCATTATTAGTCATAGTAAACTTGAGTTGCTGCTCAGTTTGCCACTAATTAATTATACTTGCCAATGTGCTGAGAATAATGATTCTCATCTTTTAGTCAACAAGGTATCTCCATTGTTGGCCATAGCAAAGACTAAGTATCTTTTTATTCACCACTTATTAGACTAGATGTCTACATTTTTAACGATAACGTGCAAAGTAACTCCTAATTTCACCATTCATAAAAAAAAAATTGCTCAAATATCAACTACACCATTCACCCAAATACCTCCATTTTCATTCCTTTTTACCAACTAGATATCTCCAATATTAACCGCGATGCATTTCGAATTTTCACTATTTATTCAGTTCAATGTCACATCTTAACGACGTCATAAACTAAATATGTATGCATTGTTCGCCACTTAATAAAGTAGATATATTCATGGGCTTCTCTAGCATGTACAAATTATCTATATATTTCAATTAGTTTTTCATAGCGTATGCTAAGTATCTCTATGTTGTTTGCTCTTCCATTAGCTGGATACTTCTATTGCTAATCGTTCAATTAAATATGTATATATCGTTTTGTTAAGAATATGACGAAAGGGAAATGTGAACAATTAAAAATAAATGAAGTTAATGTTCTCAGCATTGTTTGTCTTCACTTCCATCTTTGCTTGCACTGCCTTTTGGTAAAAATTTGTATTTGTTTCTTAGAACTTATTGAAATTTTGTACTTTGTTTTATTTTTGGTAACTATCTTATATTGTACTGTAAATATGGCGTTCTCCAGGTAATGGAACTCATCACCTGCGTCCTTTTGATGGCGTCCTTCGTCAACTATGGAATAGCTGGTTCTTCCTGTCCTCCTGAAGAATATATTAGTCCATGGTTCTGTATCAAAACATCGTCCTCCACTCAAAACTTTTACACTATTGTTGTTTGCAACAGACCAGAGTGTAAGGACCACTTGTACAGAGTTGATGGTGCTGCAGGTCATCTGGTACTGGACAAAGTGATTATAACTGGCATTACAAATAATGACACCGATAAAGATTGGAATCTGAAGCTACCGTCACGGTGGTTATTAATGTCTCGCGTCCGAGAGTTAGAGATCCGAGACACGACACTGTCAGACTGTTTTCTCTGTAACAATCCTTTTCAAGAGCAAGATCAGTACTTGAAAAAACTTGTTTTTTCAAACTGTTCTCTTAAAGGAAAACTATGCAATGAGTGTACAACAACTATAAAAAAATTAGTAACAACAACAACTACTACGACTACTCGTAGGCCTAGACAATATGGATTTTATTCTCGAAATATTAATCATTTTCCTCGTTCAACTTCTCCAGAGCCCAAGTATGAATATACCAAAATAGCAAATGGTATCCGTATGAATGGCCTGACAAATGCTAAAAGTTTAGAATCACTGGATCTATCTTTCAATGCAATTGAAGAAATCAACAGCAACGCTTTCCCTCCCGAAGTGTCCAGCTTGAAAATACTAGTTTTGTCTCACAATAATATCTCGGTGATATCCAGTGCTGCTTTTACAACACTGACTTCCTTATCTGAGCTAGACCTGTCCCATAATAAACTGGCGAACCTCAGCAGAAACATCTTCGACTCTCCAGACAGCAAATTGGAGGTGTTAAACTTAAAGTAAGTTTATTCTTCACCAGTAGCGGCGCTAGCCAATCTGGGAAAAACCTCCAATAGGACCTTAAATCAATAGACCCTCTCTTGTTTGTTTATTTTCCTCAATTTTTTCATCAGTGCTAATGATAATTTTTTTTTCTCAAACGAGTCAATGGAAGATTATGAAAAATCTATACAAAATCATATAAATATCATTGCTAGGTGATGGTCAGCATATGCATATAATATGAAACTTTTTTCACAAAATTTCATATAAATACGTAACAGGGACGCTGTTATAACTGCCCTGCACTAATGGCTCAGTGGCAAGTCTATAGGTTTATAGTTCTAAAAATTGGGTTTCGATAAGTGCAGTGGGCCTAACCCAATGTGCAGCTTCACACAAACAAACAAAACTATTTTACACTTGACGCAATGATACTTTAACTCACGTTTACTCTTAGTTGGTGATTAGCGGAAAGCTTGGAGACTTATAACGCTAAAATTTGGGGCTTAAACCTTGCAGTGGCACAGCACATACAGCCCATTACGCAGCTTTGGTCTTAACAACAAACAAACAATATCCCAAGCTGGTCTTCTTCTTACGCATTCAGCCGAACAAGTGTGGCATCTCCACAAATCATTCATTCTAATATAAAACCTAGAACATCGTAAAGTTAGATTAATAAGCAACAAAGTAAAAGCCCCTCGTAATAATTACAAATCTACACAAATGAAATAACAGGTAACAATCAGAAATGATGCATATCTAAAATTTTGACTGTGTTTCATTAAAAGAGAGCCCCCCAGTAGCTCAGCTGAAGGTTTCGATGTTCGTGATGGGTACAGAACAAATAGTCATTGTGTAGTTTTGTGCTTAACTACAAACAAACAAACTAATGCCAGTATCATTTAATATTAAATTTTCTTCTTTTTTACATAAAAATGTTATGATTCAGACTTAGTGCTTAGGCCGTCATACATTTGTTGCTTATTTTTTCCTTGGGATTTTTCTTGAATATTCGTTGCCGACATTTAACCCCTAAAACCGCGAGGTACCGTGCATTTTACCATACTTATAGCAAAGGCCTTGATATTTATTGCACGCTGTAGTTAAAGTTCGTGGTTCGTTAGCAAAGCGGTTTTTCCACTCTAAACAACGTGAAATATAACTTTAGTTTAGAACATAAGAATTAGAAGGCTATTACGGAGTTGCATTATAACATTTTGAAGAAGATAACTCATTTTTATACAAAACACTTGTTTATCAGGCTGTTAGAAATTCCTCTTAATTGGTCCATTATAGTAGTATTGTTATAACAGTCTGGCCTCAGTTTCATTACTATTATTATTATGCAAAAATATTTGTGAGAAACGTTTCATGTAATATTTTGGTCATCACCTCACATTAATATTATTGTCTAGAATGTGGAAACCATAGTAATTGTGCTTAAAAACAAGTGAGTTTAGCTCGTGAACGGACATGTATGTCTGTTTTATGCATAACGTTTAAATTAGGTTTACGTAACTCAACTTCATCGATTTTATGAGGCTCTTTATATATATATTGTCAGGCCATACTTTGTTATTGAGTTAAATTACACTTAGAAACATTATTGTAACAGGAGACAATGATTACTTTGGCCTACTTAATTCTTCTAGAAGTTGATATTGTTCAGTTGGTGTTGTTTATTATTAATCACAAAGCTACACCAAGAGCTATCTGTGCTCTGCCCACCACGGGTATCGAAACCCGGTTTCTAGCGGTATAAGTCCGCAGACATGCTGCTGTGCCACTGGGGGGCGATATTGTTCAGAGATGATTTTAAGTTATGTAGTTAAATACTTGTTTATACTATATATCATGTTTATGATATTATTTGACCCTGTTTTTTACGACTGACACTGGTTTCTATAAGCCTAGGGTAAGAAGAGTAAACACAATAGCGCTATCCAACAGTTAGGTCGAATTCTGACGATAATTAATAATGAAGTCCGTATGACGTAGGGAGATTACAGGCTAACGTACAGGCTAACTTCCACAACGCGTTGACCCTGTTGGCTACCGACCTACAGCGCCATAACTCATTGATTCAACGCGTAATCAAGTTTTTTTCTTGCATCATGTGATCGGAAACTAATTTATAGTAGGCTTGTTTGAGTAAGCGCGGTTCAATGTATTATACTATGGCCCTGGTGTGGCAATGTGTTATAGCTCTGATCTGACTTGTCATAATCGTTTCATGAAGTTGTTACTCATCTCAGCTTATTGTTTAATACGAGGTAGTCACTATCGCAGTCATGGCGTCCGCAGGATAAAGCAAGGAGGGCACTTGTCCCCCTTGAATTTCAAAGAAAATCTATTTGAATCATATACTTAAACACATCATTAGAAAATATTACTATTTAAATATAAATGACTAAAATAGGTTACACAAATAAGCCATAATCAGAAAATCACATTTAAACTTCAAGGCCATGGTATGCGCTCTGCGATGGCTTGCCCCCCACCTGGAATAAATTTTGCAGTCGCCTTGATCGCAGTTGCAATGATAATTTTTCGTTGTTCTCTTTATGACACACTACAGTTCTCTGCTTTAATCACGGCGCCCCCCCCCCCAGTGCCACAGCGGCATGTATGCGGACTTGCACCGCTAGAAACCGGGTTTCGATACCCGTGGTGGGCAGAGCACAGATAGCTCTTGGTGTAGCTTTGTGATTAATAATAAACAACACCAACTGAACAATTGTGTAACTTTGTATTTAACTATAAACAAACAAATTAATCACGGTTCAGACTGTGTTTTTTATGTCTTTATGATCCTTATCTTTAAAAAAAGTTTAATATCATGTTTTCCTGTGTCTCATTTGGCTCTTAAAAGGTCATACCCAAGATCGAACTTTATAATTTTGCAAAAGTTAAAAGTATGTCTCGGAGCACGAAACTGAGATTTAGTTTACACGCGGATTAACTAGGCATAAGCTGAGTTTTTTAGTCTTGAATTTTTCTCAGCTGTTGGGCCCGGCATGGCCAGGTGGTTTAAGGCGCTCGACTCATACTCTGAGGGTCGCGGGTTCGAATCCCCGTCACACCAAACATGCTCTCCCTTTCAGCCGTCGGGGCGTTATAAAGTGACGGTCAATCCCACTATTCGTTGGTAAAAAAGTAGCCCAAGAGTTGGCGGTGGGTGGTGATGACTAGCTGCCTTCCCTCTAGTCTTACACTGCTAAATTAGGGACGGCTAGCGCAGATAGCCCTCGTGTAGCTTTGCGCGAAATTAAAAAACAAACAAACAAACAAACAATTCTCAGCTGTAACTTCAAACTAAATCAAGTGACGGACAATTTATCGCTTTTTATTAAAATGGTAGTATTTTGAAGACCCTAGATAAGTAATAATTTGAAATCAAAATGTACAAAAAATTTAAGCTGTATCAAAAACTACGACTATGAATCACAAAATATTCTCTGGCACAAGCCGTAAACATTTTAAGGCAAATAGCCATAAAATGTAATGTACACAAATCCAACAACTAAACCAAAAAATAAAGAGGGACAAATACAAAACATTTAACTGCATAATTAGAATCCACAATTCTCACATGTGAGATAAAATTAGAACTGAAATTCCAGAAGTAAAACAGTATATCCTATGAAAAATTATGCCCTATGAACGTAATTTATTGTCTGTATCTACAGCTGGAATCGAATCTCAGTACTCCAAGAAAACATGTTCTCACTTATGCTAGCACTAAAAAAGGTAAATATCGCCCACAACTTTCTTCAGTATATCCCGTCAGCCACCTGGAGACAGGAGCTAGGTGTTATCCAGACGATCGATTTAAGTGGTAAGATTTTTATAATAGTGAACATTTCTACTTCTTTAGATATTTTCAGTTAATTCTATATGTTCTAAGAAGATTTTCTGTTTAATGAGTTCGAAACAATGTTTTTAATTATTGATAAATTATAAGCTTAAATTTCAAAATTTTAAACGTGTGATATTATAATTTTTTTGATATTAACACAAGAAACAAATATACATTTTACTTATGGATTTTCAAATAATACTATATTTAATTCTTCCCACGCTTTTGGCTGGGCGTAGTTTATTGGCTAGCGTGCCAAGCTGTGGATGGAGGGATTTAATGTTCGAGGCATGACGATGCTGAATAGGCTCTGCTTTTATAGCTTTGGGCGAGCTCACAAAATATTCAATTCAAAAAATTATACAAGGCCCTGATAGCAGTGATTTCAAAAAATATGGATGGTTATAACTGAACTGTAAGGATATCTGACCTGCCTGTTTAGCCCGCGTGCACATAAGATGCCGCTCACATTAAACATGTATATTATCACACTATCGGGCACGAAAGCCAACATACAAGAAATGAAAGAGAAGCAATGTTAGATGACATCAAGATGCAAAACAAAACTTCTGATCACCCGATTAGAAAGAAGAACAAGAAATGTATGTTGCCTGTGTGTGGTCAAACATTGAAGATTACACACTTCAAAATTTACAATTAGTTACAAACATTCACTAAATACTCATTGATTATATATCACAAAGTCCCTCAGTGCTCAGCGGGGAGGCTAAAAAACTTGATTTCGATACACCTGGTGAGAACAGTACAGACAGCGCAATGTGTGACTTTGAGCTTAACAACAACAAATATGTCACAGACAGAAGTGAGACGTATGTCGTATATGTATATATAAAGTGCTCAAAAATATTTTGGAATTGACTTTGTACAATATACTAACTTGAAGCAGCTTGCCAAGCTGTTGTTATAGCAGCTTCCAGTTATCTTACTCCAACCAACAAAAGTAAGTTGATATATATTGAAATAAAATCAAATAAATCTTTCACAGTGTTAGCTTGGAACATGCCAAAGTAGCTATATATGTTATTTTAGTGTACGTCAATCATAGAGGAAATGCTTAAAACTTAACCGTTAAATCATTACAACAGTTATAACCAACATGAAACTCTTCTTCCCAATATGTTATTTATTACAATGTTCATATGGTAGTTAGGGAGGAATGTGGTTTTTGCAGTAATATAAAACATAATGCATTAGGAACGATAAATGGGTATATATTATATATATCAAAGTGAAAAAAATGCGTGGCGGAAGAGAGAAGATGTACCATAAACAAAAGGTAACAAAATACAATAAAATTTAAATACATGTGTATGTGTATCTATGCAATAAAAACATATATGAAGAAAAACTGAAGTCGTTACTGACTAATTTGATAGATGAAACTAAGTCGTTACTGAATAATTTGATAGGTGAAACTAAGTCGTTACTGAGTAATTTGATAGGTGAAACTAAGTCGTTACTGAATAATTTGATAGGTGAAAGTAACTCGTTATTGAATCATTTGATACGAAACACTAAGACTTTAATAAATAATTTGATACGTAACACATAATATAACACTGCGTCATGAGGATATGAGTTCGTAAATATTAAAGAATGCAAGTGGATTTTTTATCGTGGTAATTGAAAAAGATACACACTGAGAAACGAAGTGTGTGGGTCATGTTTACTAAATAAAAAAATAAGAAACTGTAATTACTTTGGGCATTTTAATCTGAATAATATAGTATTCCTTATATTTATATCTTAGCCACATTTTATTTCGAAATGATTTTAAATGATAATATGTAGCAATAGAAATGATAGCAAGGCTTCCTGTTTCTCACTTCCGCGTTTTTTGAGCTATGATATAAACTATGAAAAACTATTCTAATTCTTTTGCTTTATTTCTCAAGGAAACTTTCTCATCTGTGACTGTGACATCAAATGGATTTTGGCTAACGAGACTGAAATAACTGGATTGTGCAGCGCCCCCTGGAAATTTGCATATCAACCCGTGAAACGAGCCGCAGCCACTTTGATCTGTTGAGATCACAATGAACAACAACTATCTTACTATAATAAGTTTAAACTCTGACATATACGAAAAATATTCTAATTATGCCATTTAAACCTTAGTTTAGCCTATGTTATTCAAGTTGAGTTTAACTTCTAATACCCAAGTTAAGTAAACTTTATGTTTGTTTTACTACATAAAAATGTTTTGATGATAATTAAAAGTGTATGTGTCCCAGATAATAAAATATGTTTCGGTGTGACCAAGTGTATATTGGAAACTGGTTTGATTTGTTTCGAATTTCGCACAAAGCTACGCGAGGGCTATCTGCGCTAGCCATTTCTCACTTAGCAGTGATATAGACCAGTGGGAAGGCAGAAGGCAACTATTCATCACCACCCACCGCCAACTCTTGGGCTACTCTTTTACTAACGAATAGTGGGATCGCCCGTCACATTATAACACCCCCTACAGCTGAAAGGGCGAGCATGTTCGATGTGACTAGGGATTCGAACCCGCAGATTGCGAGTCGAGCGCCCTAATCACCTGGCCATGCCAGGTCATTGGAAACTGAGAATTGATGCATTAGGTCAAGAATTACTCGTTTTAGCTATTATGTATTTCTTATATCAAGCATACTTTGTACGCATTGTAATAGTTTAAAATCACGTACCTTTTTAATCAAACATGCAATATTTTAGAGTTTGGGCTAATATAATTTTAAGGTCGTTTCAAATACGTATAAATGTATTTAGGTAGAAAAAATTCCTGGCTAAAGTTCACGTATATAAACGCTAATATACACGTGAAGTATTAGCTTGAAAATCATCATCTCTAAGTATTTGGCTAATTTATACTCATATGAAGAATACATCGTTACTATTTCTGGTTGTCCTCAGGGCGGATTAGGGTAATTTTTCAGCCTTACTCTGCTAAAGTACAGAGCTCAGATGGCCTGTTGTGTAGTTTTGCGTTATAAAAACATTAACAGCAGCACAACGCCTTCTACGTCAGAACTTAAGTACTGTGAAGTTGGGAACACTTAAAACAGTCAGTAGCTGTTGGTCAATTTTATAAATTTACTTTATTCTGATTACCGGTGTTTTTAAGAATTCTAAATTGTTACATTTTTTCTATTGCTTAGTACGCGTTCGAATATTTCACAAATATGGTCCATTAATTGTTGTCGTTTTTTTTTCGATTTTATATTCTATATAATTTTAACGATAGGATATTTTCAGTTTGATACACGCAAAACTGTGGTTATTAACACAAACTTTACAACTAACATAATAGCATCACATGATGTTTTGGGACAAGAAGAGATCTATCAGTCCATCTCGGCTGTGCCATCCCCGTAACTAAACTAAAACTATTAAATAAGTAAACAGACCCTCAAAGCCTGGCCCGGCATGTCCAGGTAGTTAATGGCGCTCGATTCGCAATCTGAAGGTCGCGGGTTCGAATCTCCGTCCCACCAAGCATGCACCAATAATGTGACGGTCAATTCCACTATAAGTTGATAAAACAATAGCCCAAGAGTTGACGGTGGGTGGTGATAACTAGCTGCTTTCACTCTAGTTATTCACTATTAAATTAGGAACGGCTAGCACAGCTAGCCCTCTTGTAACTTTGTGCGAAATTCAAAACAAACCTTCAAAGCCAGCCATTATCACTCATTTAGTTATCAAGCTTTCTCTTAAACTCGCTTAACCTTACTGCCTCCACAACATCTGGAGGCAACCCGTTCCAAAAGCCAACCACCCTTTTAGAAACATAAAACTGTCTTAGCTTAAAATTACTCCTACCCTGCCAAAATTTATATTTGTGTCCCCTACTCCTACCATCTGTGAAAAAAAGAGTATTCATCATCGCCATCAATTCCCTTAACAATCTTAAACACTTGAATCAGATCCTCTCTAACTCTTCTTTTTTTCAATAGAAAACAATTTTAGAGTTCTTCTCGTATGACAACCCATCCATCCGAAGCACCATTCTAGTAGCCCCCTCTGTACACTTTCCAACAATTCGATGTCCTTCCTAAGGTAATGATCCCAAACTCAACAGAACACTCCACATTTAGCCTAACCAGTGACCTATACAATGAAACTATAACCTCTTTAGACTTATATTTTGTATACAACCTAAAATCCTATTTGCCCTACCACTAGCAACAGTACACTGCTTGGAAGGCTTAAGAGACTGATCAACCACTACACTAAGATCCCTTTCTTCCATAACACTGTTAAGGTTATTCTCATTCAAATTATACTTATAATTCAAATTATGATAACCCACAGGCATTATCTTGCATTTATTATAATTAAAACACATGTGCCATTTATTCGCCTAACTCATTAAATGATCTAAATGCTTTTGTAAAGCAGCATCCTCCTCCTCACAGCCAGTAACACCCAAGACCTTAATATAATCAACAAATTAAAGGTATTTATTGAACATTCCTTTATCTATACCATTTATATAAATAAAAAAGAGCAAAGGTCCTAGGACTAAGCCCTCAGGTACCCCCTTCTGAAATTAATCCATTTATAACAACCCTCTGCTTTCTTCTATCTAGCCACTCTTCAGTCCAATGAGCTAGTTATTCCCCGCACGTATAGAGATAACTTTTTACAAGCCTTTTATCTAGCATCTTGTCAAATGCTTTTTGAAAATCCAGATACACCAAATCTACACCCCTACCCTCATCTACACAACAGTATTATTTTCAAAGAATGTCTAAAGATTTGTTAGGCAAGATTTTCTCTTAATAAAAACCATGTTGACCATTCAATAAAATTCTAAACTTTGTTAATTAAAGGATTTTACAAAGCATCTTTTATCATACTTTCTAAAATTTTCCCCCCAACTGTTATAAGACTAACAGGCCTGTAGTTACTGGACAATTTTTATCATCTTCCTTGACAAGAGAAGTAACATTAGCTACCTTCCAATCCTCTGGCAACTGACCACTATTCGAGGATTACAAAAAACAGTATCAAGTGGCTCACATATCCAATCCTTAACCTTCTTCAAAACATTTGTGGAAATACTATCTGGCGCAGGAGCCTTATCGTTCTTTAAACTTCCCAATTTTTCCTTAACAAGCTCAAAATTAATGTGATCATCTTGTTCGATCTTGTTTCCATCTATCAACTGTTCAATATAAGGAATGTTGCTTTAATCTTCATTAGTAAAACTGAAGATAAAAACAGAATTTAAAGACCCAGCAATCTCAAAATCATTAGATACGAACCTTCTTTTATCATCTCTAAAGGGTCCTACCCCATCCTAACATTTTGTCTACCCTTAATGTATTTAAAGAAATCCTTACATTTTTAACCAACCCTTTTTCAAACATCCTTTTTGATGTCCTAATTTCCTAATTTGAACAACTTTCTTGATATTCTACAATATTCTCAATCTCCCGTCAAACCAGTCAATTTAAACTTATTACATTTGCGATGCTTTTCTTTAATTTCATCTCTTAAACCCTTTGTGAGCCAATTGCAGCCACCTTTTTCTTCCTATAAGGGATGTGTTTATATTGTATATATAAAACTTTATCATTAAAAATTTTCCATGTTTGATCAGTGCCTTTGAATAACTCAGCTGCTCAATTCACAACAGATAATTCTTTTCGCATCGCTCCAAAATTCGCTTTTTTGAAAGTTGTAACCAAAATATCATTATTCCTGATCTCCATATGCAGCAAAACAATTAAAATTAAAACAAGTTCATCCAGTTCTCGTAATGTAAAAGATGAAAGTAGGATAATGTTTACAAGTCATGTTAATACTACTAAAAACTGTTACATTATCGAAAAATAAAAGAATTCGAATATCAATTATCTTTAGTAAATACGTAAGAAATAATAACTATGAATGTATACCAATAATAACCTTCTGTTCATTCAGTAGGCATTGGGTTCCATATCGAGTCAACCTGTACTTTCTGTAAAATCTTCCAAAGAAATGATTACAATAACTATGTTTATTGCATTAAGTATAGCTTCTATATTAATATGAGTCACGAACTCAAAGGTTAGAAGCAATTACACATGAATCAATTCAGTAGTTAATACTATTTTATGTGTGATTTTACACACGAAACATCTTTAATGCCCCCAGTGGCACAGCGGTATGTCTGCGGACTTACAACGCTAGAATCCGGGTTTCGATACCCGTGGTGGGCAGAGCACAGATAGCCCATTCTGTAGCTTTGTGCTTAATTACAAAATAAACAAACATCTTTAATTTTAAAAGATAAATGATACTCATTTAAGGGATGTTATTACTGGTTCATAGAATAATGACTATAAACCTCTATTAGGAGCATCGGTGACGAGTTTAGACAAACATTTGTTCTACATAAAATACAAAATGAAAAGAAAAACGACACGCTACATTTTGGACGAAAACGAAGAGAAAAATTATTTCTATGAGAACAATCAATTCAGTACTTTACATCTCCAAACCTCAGCAACTTAAATGATTGACAATTGGCACGTACACAGATGGATATGTTTACAAAACGTTAAATATTAGATGTTATATAGATCGTAAGATAGAATTTGAAAAACATATTACGATTTCAATTAGCAAATTTTTTAAAAAAATTATGTATTTTTAGCCGTGGCATAGGGGCTAAGAAATGGCTCTGAGTTTTTCAAGTACAAACTTTTAGCTCAAAGTTCCGTCATCTTTTGACAGATTTGAGATCTAATTTTAGTTTTAGACTCAGGAGGTTAAACCCTTTAGATTGATATATTTGACCAGGCCGAATGTCTCATAGATTAATCCATTTTAATCCTGCCTAAAAGAATTTGAATTTGAGGATAGTTGTAGAGATCCTGATGAGTAATAAAATCGAATCGGGTATAAGCGCGCACCATGCTTGGTATTGCTGGCGCACAAAAATATAACTAATAAAAAGGAAAAGAAGATCTCATACATTTATTTACTCTAATCCTGCCTAAAAGAATTTCAAGTGTCGCGGCTATTGAGGATTCTCTTTTGTTTCTTATTCACAAATGTATATTAGGTTACAACCAATTTAATACTTTTGTGTATACGAGAACAATCTATACATATGCATGTATGAACATTTCGTACAAAAATTTATTTCATCATCCTTTCAACTTTCACAATTATTTGAAATTACTTACTCTTTACACAACCAGTTTCGTAGCTTTCACTTTTCTTTAGATCTACTTAATTTCCCCTTAAAACAATATTAGTTCCTGAACACCGCTGTGTCAGATATCATAAT